AACATTAAGCCAGCTCCCTGATGACAGCTGAAGCTAAATCATGAGCTGAAAATGTCCCCAAAATGAAACAGAAAGAGACTGTCAAAGATTAATTCACGAAAATCACATGTAGAAAGAGAAAATGAAAAGCAAAGCCACATGTGGCTATAAAGCTCCTAACTGCATTTGAAAGTATCCTTTCCTAGTTTTTAAGAAATAAATTCAGCCATGAAGAAAACCATGAGAATTTTACTGTCACTGGGTATTTGGAATAAGTGACAATGGACCAACAATTATTTATTAACTACAACACATAAGGCAACGTGGCAGGCACAGTGGAGATTTTAGATAAGTCCATAAATCCAAAGAGCTTGTAGTATTTTACGGAGATAATCATAAACATTGTATTTTTGTTTATCAAGTAAGTGATTAAAAAATATGTAACAATAAATACTATCAACATTTAGGGAAAGGAGATAAGACTGTTCAATGTAGAGGGGAAAAAACCTTTATTGAGCAGGACCTTAAGAGAAAGTTCAAATTTGGATAGGTAAGGAGCAGAAAGAGGCATTGTCAGGCAAGGGAAACAGACCACAGTATAAATGCACATCACATAATCAAAGAAAAAAGTATTATGCCAAGGGAAACACAGGAATTTGGGACTGTTGAAAGATGAGTTTGGAAAAGGGACCAGATGTCAGAGAACCAGCTTAAAGAGTTTTAACTTTACCCATTGGAGTCAATGAAGATTTCTGAACATTAAAAAAATAAAAGATAGCACTACAAAGTTTTCAATGAATTCTATTCATATTAAAGAGGAAAGATGTTTCTTATTTTAACCTTTAATTTCTAGAAACAGCCTATTATCTAACATCAATTCCATAGTACAAATAGTACTATTCAACTCTTATGTCTCTGAACCTCTGCCATTTTTAGTGGATAGAACAAAAAAATCTTCAAGAAAAGGAATTTCCTAAGAACTTCTGAGTAATAATGAAACATCTTTGATATAACCTCAGTACACAAACACACATAATTATGACTACCAGCTCTAAAAGAAAAGCAACATTATAAATTTCAAACACTCAAAGGAGTCTCAAATTTTGAAATCTAAATATTAAACATTTTATGATATCTTTAGAGATAATCAATGAGTATCAATTTTTTATTTTGATTTTTACATAAGATATCCTTTGGTTTATGAAAGTAATTTGTTCCTTATAACCCTCCCCTTGGTAGAAAACTTGCTTTTGTTAGTTTATTGATATATGTTAAAAGTTATAATTAGCTTCCCCTAAGCAATACCCATTTAAAAGTAAAATCTCAAAAATCATTGTTACCCCTAATAAACAAACACCTCTATAAAACAAGAGTTGAAAGCAGATATAGAAAGGCTTAGGGGAGATACTATAAAATAACAGGATACAGCACAATAACAAAAGGACATGAAATAAGAGCAGATATATTAAATGGTTCAAGAAAGAATGTGAGAGAAAAATAAAAACAAAACAGAAAAATAAAAAAGCCATTTTGGATACAGCGCAAAGGAGAATAAACATTGCTAAAAATTTACCAACAGTCATGGTGAGCAAAGCAAGCAATTAAAATAGAAATTAACAGAAAATTTAAAAGGACTTCCAACATAAGCAATTAGCATTCTCAAGAAAAGGAATGCGACTCAAAAATGTTAGCATTCAATCCATGATCTATTTTTACTCAAGTACAATGGCCCACATAAACATTTTTGAAGATGAAAGACAACAGAGAATACAGTTCTATAGTATCTATAGTGATAGTAAACATCACCAGAATACTGGGGCAATAATTCAGAAACCTTATAAAAGTATCTCATTTAGTTCTGGTAACACTCTCAGAATGAATGAATGATACACCAGTATTTCTATCAAGTTATAAAGTGAAATGATTCTTTGATGCCTTATGCCCAAGTCTCTTTTTTAAGATTGTTTTTATTGTTTAGTTGGTTTTATTGTTGTTGTCTGGTTTGGTTTGGTTTGTAAAATTAAAGCATAATAATGGCAAGCACTTCTGAAAGAGACTACTCTTGATCTTAAGAAATTTCTTTGGGAGGAATCTGGCAGTCTGAATTGAAGATTATAAAAACTTCTTCGGTCATTCGAACCACAGAGGACACTGGTTTAATTAGAATTCTCCCGCTCTGGTTTCCTTCTTGTAGTGCTTTTTAGAGATCAACTTTTTCTTCTGGGTAATTGTGGACCTGGGTAATGAACTCCACCGGTCAATTAAATCAAAAGCTACTCAAACCTCTCAAAAAGTGAATGTCTAACTTTATAAACATTACATAATTTTGCATCCCTAACAGCCTCAGCAGCTGATTTTCATTCTTTTATTCTTGAAAATTGTTTACACCATTGAAACAGGGATACGTATGTAAGTTAGACATCTCTGCTTCTTTGGCCTACTTCAATTGACATAAAAAGAAAATATTTTTCTCTCTTTTATGAGTTCACAATTTCAATTATTACCTTTTATTCATCATTTATTCTGGCTTAGGGATTATGGTGTTATAAAAATACAATTGAGAGTTCAAACAGGGTATGTTCAATCAACTAAAATGCCTTGTTTGGCTGTATATTGCAGTGGTCTCTAAACTCTTTTGATCATACAACCTGAGTAAGCACAAGATTTGTGGGCATACACTCCACGATGTGAATATATTTACTCCTAGATTATATTCACATATGAAAATAACAGAAATTTCTAAAGAATTCGATAAAGATAAAAATATTTTATTAATGGCAAATAACGTTTTGCTCTCACCAGAAATTATTAATAATATTTAACAAAAACAATGTGATTTAACAGATTTTATTATTTCTGAACATCTTGGTTCAATCTTACGTGACTGAGCAATTTAAAGTTCAATTTTTTTGATATATGGTTCCAACTCCTGTCAGTTACCTCATGAAAATACGTAGATCCAAATGGGAAAAGCTCATCATGCACTTGTACCCTCAGCTTTTAATACCATCCTCTGATAATACAAAGGCTCAGGGATTTTTAAATTTGTTTTGTTTTTAAAAATTGTTTTGTTGTGATTGCTAACTGATATTCAGCTAGCAAACGTCCATCTTTCCTGAGATCAATTAGTTGCTCTTGAAAAAGCTATTGAATTTTTAGGTTAAAAATTGTGTCCTAAAATCACTGCAACTTTGTGAGATATTTTTAGCCAGGTTAGGATATTCCATTTTCAACTTACTAAACATGCAGATGTGAAGAGTTTTAATAGATTACACACCTTATCATTTAAAATAAAATCATATTTTCAAACATCCATTTCAAAAATGCTCTCCCTGTAGCATTTCTTCCAAGAAGCAGTTACTTTTTCATTCATTGTTAAAACATTGCTTTTACCTTGAAGGGCTATATTTAAGTATATTTTTCAAACAATGAGGTAGCATCTACTAAAATCATTTAATACATAAAGGTAGCAAATCTAGACTTGTCTTTTTGTAAAAGGAAAATCAGTAATAATTTTTAGTTCCTTTGTTAAGAACAACCTCTGTGGTGTAGAAATATATTGATATTCATTACGCAGCTCATCAAAAAATATATGCAAAGACGCTACTGTATCTTAAAGAACTTGCTTTTACAAAATGCAACTAAGTAATGTCCTATAGCATTTTGTATACATCTGGCTTTTAACCTCTTTGCTCTTCTCCAATAGCTTGCTCAGTAGCTTGCTTGCACCAAATGAATTTCGTCTATGTCATTGTAAATGATAATGAGGGCTGATCCTTGTTCAAATAACCTGCTTGATAATTTCTATTGAGCAGGGCTGGCTTCTGGTCATATTTTACTAAATTACTTTTATCCCAAATGGGAATATATGCCAGATGTCCCCCAATATCCACTTTCTCTCCTTCCTCAGTATCAGAATCTCTATTAGTGGGCACATCACTGCCCAGAGCAAAGACTACATTTTCCAAACCCTTTTCCCCTTGCACCTATGCATGCCCTTGAAAAAGTTTTGGTCACTGAGATGTAAGTAGAAATAATATATAGCCTTAAAAGGAGGGACATATCTTCTGCTTCCTATCCTCCTAATTAGCTGGAATTCATATGTGATGGCTGAAACTGAAGCAACCATCTTCAAGAAAAGAGGGAACAGTCAGGTGTTGATGCAGCCAGAGCAACAAGGGGGATCCAGATCCTTCCTGACTGGGTTGTCCTCATTCAGCCCTGGGTGCCTATGTTTATGTGAAAAGAGAAATACATTTCTATCTTTTTGAGCTTCTGTTCTTTTGAGTTCTCTGGCTTTTGCTGGTGTACTGAATCCTAATTAATACACCTGATAACAGGGTTGATGAAGGGCACATGCTGGGAGTCGGAGACGAGACAGCTCTGCTGCGTTCTCACGTCAGCATGTGCTTGCACTATTAATATTACCTTCAATCTGCAGTTTCCTAACAGAAACTACTTTTAAACCACTTATCCATTTTGTCAGGATTAGTTCATAAGAACCACATAATATAATCTTTAAATCCACTTTATAGGTATGTGTGAACTGCAACATGTGTCCATAGCTCTGAAAGCAAATGAATGGGGGGGGCCACCATTAGGCAACTCCAACTCTTCTCTCCAGACAACCCAAGAATGACATGTAACCTGTGTTTGTCTGAAATATAGACTGTGCAAAGACACCACATCCATGCTAAATATTAACAAGCTTTGTTTTTTTCTTGGTGGATATATAAGTATCTGGAGAAGTTCTGCTTTCTTCCTGCTCCTCTCCTGCCCCTACTAACAGGTACTTTTATGACCTGCCTGGTGTGCAAGCACTCCACTCACTTTAGAGCCCACTGTCAAGATTGTGGATAGACTCACAGCTAACTAACTACATATCATAACACTATGCTACAGGACAAAAATGTTCCTCAGTGAAAAATCAGCATAAATAAGTGCTCTCCATAAAACCGAAACTTTGTAAAAGCAAATGGTAAATCAAAAGGTGAGTATACGTAAAGATTTTGATGACTTACCTGAATACTTCAAGGATAGTCCTTTCTGGTAATTTGGGAGCCACCTGCCTAAATGCTTTTTTGAAATCTTCCAAAGTTAAAAATCCACGATCTATTTGAAAACAAAATACAAAACATTCACTTATTTTTATAAATCCTATGAACCCTTAGTTCAGCCAGTTTTGTGTGAAACATTAATATATTATGAGAAAGGTAGTATTTTATAGTTCATTTTACATATAAGATAATCCAAGATTGTCTCATTCAATAATTTAAGAGTCTAGTAATACTCTTTCAGTAAAGTCCCAGCTGATCTTCTTTTAAAAATTTTTTAAATTAATTTATTTATTAGAGATGGGGTCTTGCTCTGTGCAGCGGTGCAATCATAGCTCACCGTAACCTCAAATTCCATGGGTCAAGCAATCCTCCCACCTTAGCCTCCCAATCCCAATTGATTTTGAAAATCATCTCCAGTCCTGTCATTTTGCTGATTCTGTAAGTCCTACGCGGGAAAGGACTATACAGAGACGTGCACTATAATAATAATCACATTAGGCTTTGAGTCTTTGTGAGCTGTCAAAACAATTCAGTCTTCAAAATTGACCTCTTTTCCTTGCTTGGTATTAAAATTATGATATATTAATATTTAGGGGAAAACCATAACATCAGCCAAGACACTGAACCTAGACTCTGCAACTCTTTTCATCCTGTGTGTGACCTGCGGGGCTTAGAGGGTGTGCAGCCACCCCTTTCAGACGTACTCTGGGTGAGAAAACAATTGCTCCAATCGTGTGGGTCAGAGCAGGAGTTGAAGAAGAAGCCACAGAGTGTCTCACTTCCTTAGGTGGCTTTGGCCTGTATCCCCACTTAGCCAGTCCTCTTGCTCCTTACAATAAAGGTAAAATATATAAGTCTATAGGTACAATATATAAGTGCAACTAAATAACTATAAATATTAGTTCATCCATGGTAAATGTCAAGAATTTAAGATCATGACAGAGAAAAAAATTACACCAACACCTAAGGTAACAGCTAATGAATATAGCAAAATAAACTTCCAAGTATATTGTATATTTAATTTACTGAGTATGTATTTCCATTACCAGTTCCTTAATAGCATTTTTATATTAAAAATACTTTAAACACATTAAAGACACTTACAGTGTACGTCAAAAGCTGTAAAGATGTGTCTTATTTCATTCCGATAGAGTTGAGCTTCCTTCTTTTTCCTTATGATATTTAAAAAACCCTCAAGTGATATACCTAAAAGTTGGGAAAAAACAATTTGCTAAAAATGGCTGCTTTCCTCTTTAAGAAAAAATAAAATAGAAATGAACAGTGATAAATATTACAAATAATCGAATTTTTTCTTAATTTTGGTGAACGACAATATTTACTCCTAAAAACCTATAAAATAAAACAGACATTTGCTAAATGCTAAGTAGACCCAACAGCAGCTATCAACAGTGAAAACAAAATACACTCTTAGGGTTCACTGAGCCTTTTCACAGGATAAAGAAATGGTGACCTTGAAAAAGTTTAATACTCTTCCCTCTAACAGATCTAATAGACAAGCATGAAACTACTTATTAAACAAGGTTTCATAATTTTCTTTCCTTATGCTTCTTTGATCCCTTTTTTCCTAGCCAGATGTCATTACAGCAGGTTTTTTTCCAACTGGGAGATCGGGTCAGAGAAGTAGTTTCTCAAAAGTCAATACCAATTGCGCACCACAGATAAAAGTGGAGAGAATATTACATAAACAATAGAGCTGGCACCATCCCCAGCCCTGGATACACCCCACAACGTGTTCGGCAGCCTCGGGCTCAGCTTCCTGCGACTCCAGTAATAAAAGAGCCCAGCATGATAATATGAGATTGGATACTGTGCTTACAATGTCTATTAAAATGAATTCTAATGTGATCTTTGTAGTAGGTTTAAAGAGCGAAGCCAAGAATTTAAACATTTTAGTGAACTGAGCCCTAAATATATAAAAAGAGTGGTTCATTTTTATAACTCAGGATTTCCATAAAAAATCATTATCACTCTGTTTTTAAAATAGCTCCCGATCATACAATAACCACATGCACACTTTTCCTTTTGGTGAGGCAACACTGAGCTGTGTATCTTTTCTAAAATAGTTCCAATAGCATAAAAAGTGTAGAAATAATTTTCTTAATTTCCCATGTCTTTCTTATTTGTAGTTAAAGATTTATAGACTTAAAAAATTCACTCTACGTTTTTAAATTATTCTTTTACAACTTTTTAGGACCTAATGTGGGCCAGGCACTGTATTAAGATAGAAGAGGAAGAGAACATACATGATTCTAGTCCCAAAGGAGCCACTTGTCTAGCAGGGGAGACAGTCATCACACGGGTTCAATTGCAAACATGCACATAATTGCAAACGATGGTGTGGGTGATGAAGGGAAAGACAGGAGGTTGTAAAGGAGAGTCAGTCACAGGAATCCTCTTGTAGGGTCAACTCTGATGAAGGAGAGATCTCTTAGAGGAGGAGATATTTAAGCTAAGACTTAAATCATGAGACAATACCAACAGGCTAAAAGATGTGAAGAGCATTGCAGGCAATGGAAAGAGCATGTGCTAAGGCCACAGGGTGGGAAAGTGGGAAAATGAAAACAGGCCACTGTGGCTGGAATGTCGTGAGCAAAAGAGAAAGAGCGCAACACAAGACAAGGTTGGAGATGGAGGCAGGGGCCAGAACTCACAGGCCCTTGTGGGTCACAATAATTTGGCTTTTAAGTTGCGACAGGAAGTCAACAGTCTGGATTGGGAAGTGATGTAAAAATCTGATTTAGATTTTTAAAAGATCTTTCTGCCTATTGTCTTGAAAAAAGGATTGGGGGAAGCAAAAAATGTAAGTTAGGAGCCTATTGGCAAGAGATGTGGTTGCCAGGGTGCTGGCAGTGGGAATGAGAGGAGTGGAAGTTTTCCAGATATATTTTAGAATCGAAATGACATAGCTTGATGAAGAATTAGATGTGGCGGGTGAGAAAGAAGGAGATGTCAAGAATAACCCATAGATTCTGGCTTGAGTACGAGGTGGTTCGAGGAGTCGCTTAAAGAGAGGAGAGTCTGTGGGAAGAGCAGGATTGGGGTGAGATGAAGAGGTGCCATTCGGAAGTGCAAAGTCTCCCGTGCTTCGTGCTTCGGAGACAACCAAGAGGAGAAGTCTAGAAGGCAGCTGGCTATATTGTAGGTGACAGGGCATACCTCCAGCACCTAGCAGAGGGCCAGGCAGGTGCTCAATAAATATGCAGACCCAACAGAAGCAATCAATAGTGAAAATGAAAGACATTTTTTGGGTTCACTTAGGGTTTAATTGTATTAAATTAGCATATGCAGCATTTCCCTAGTAGTTATTAAAGACAGGTATGGATGCAGCTCCATTTTCATCTCATCACCCTGTGGCCAGGGTGTGCATTCAGAACTGCTACCTGAGGTTAAAATAGAAGTCTAGCCATGCCATGTTCCCATAAGATTGTATCCATAACTTTAGTTTTATAAACACTAAAAGCTAATCAATTAAATAACATCTAGAGTAGTTGAAATTCTTGAATAATCTATTCACTGATGATGGCATGTCCTATGAGACCCTTCAGAACCCCGTACCACAGTCCACCTCTCTAGTCTCCCTAGCAAATTTCCTGGTGCTTCCCCAAGACAATAGGCCTTTTTGTACCCTATTCCTTTGCATGTATAAAACACATTACTTGGAATGATGCACTTTCTCCTTTTTTTCCTAGTAATTTATACATCCCCTTCCAGATGCAACTCAAGCATTATCTTCTCTTTGAAGGTGTCTCTGATTTCTCTATGACAGGACCCTTTTCTGTGACCCAAAAATCTTCTGTTCATAAGACAATTATAGAATCTATTAGGATCTATGGTAATTACTTGGCTGCATGTCTGCCTGAGACCTGCTGAGGGAAAGTACTGTACATTGGTCAAAATTTTATCCCCAGTGTTTGGCATGATGCCTAGCATGGAGTAGGTATTCATTACGTATTTGCTGAATAAGTAACATGCTATGAATAAATAATAACAAATAGGAAGGTGCTATATCTAGTTTTTAGCAAAAAGCACTAAAGCATGTGTGTATGTGCGTGTGTGTGCGTGTGTGTGTGTGTGTGTGTGTGTGTGTGTGTGTGTTTTCTGGAGAAGGGAGTCTTGCTGTCTTGCCCAGGCTTGAATGCAATGGCTATTTACAGATGTGATCATAGCTCACTGCGGCCTCGAACTCCTGACCTCAAGCTATCCTTCTGCCTCAGCCTTCCCAGTATCTGGGATTATAAGTGTGTGCCACCACACCAGGCTTAAAATGTGTGTTTTAAATAACCTTTTAACTCTGTAAATTAATGCCAAAAAGATCACTTTTTATTCACATAGCCAGCAAAATAAACCATTAGAAACTCCAATTTCTTGATACATATAATATAGTAAAAAAAAAAAAATTCAGAGAAAAAGGAAATGCATGCATAATATTTGCTCTTAAATTATCACTGCATCTGACTTAGACAAATGATGAGCGGAAAAAAACACAATTCCATGGTTCTTGTGTGATTAACAAGAAAAAAAAGCACACTAGTGGTGGTATCTTTAAAATTACATATTCAGATAACTCATCAGTATTTGAAGCTATAAAGTGTTCGGGTCTTTATTTCACAATCTTGTGGGATAAAAAATAAATGTTCTTTAGTTTTCAGTAGGGGAAAATGTCTGTGGATTTAAACTGTATGCTTATTACCACTTAAAAAGAGAAACAATCTAATAGCACAAATAACTCTGTATGTGTAATCAAGTTACTTCACACAATTTTCCCACAGAATCATATACCTTATCTTTTAAAGTCAATACTCTATGAGTCAAACTCATTGAGTATTTATTAAATTGTGAACACATCCCCTCCCTCTATGCCCTTAACTTGTGTTAGTCTTCCAAGGTAACATATACCCAAATACAAGCCCCTTTTCTATAATAAAAAGGATAGAGAAGCTTTCATTCAGCTTAGCTTTCATGTTGTAGTAATAAGATCACTTTCCAAAGCCAATACGTAATAATTTGCTATTCCTAGAGCTCTGCAGTGCAAACACATTAATGTAAGTTGTGTACATCCTGCTGCTCTTTAAATGGCCCAGAAATAGACTTCCTACTACTAGCTCCACCTGCTGTCAAAACATTGACACCTAAAATTACCACTTCACAAAGACTTTCAATAAATCTATTGAAATGCATTACCTGTGTCCTCTTCCACTAGTGAAAGAATATATTCAGAAAATTCTAATTTCAAATACAGTGTCGAGTCCTCTATGTACACTGTTCCACTAATAATAGTTACCTAAACACACTTTACTATAGTAACAAATTAGGATCACAACATCAGGAACCATGGAGATCTAGGTGTCTGTGTTCACTGTTAATATGTCTACAGAAGGTATTCAGAAATTGCCTGGGTAGTTAATTGGACTCTATCAGTAGTTTGCAGATATTTTTTAAGCTATAGGAAAAGTTCTTCTTTATGAAACAGGAAAGCCTGATGTGTAGAGGAGATGAAGACAGAGCTATTTGGTTTCAAGCAAGGTATGCTTCCCACCTTCCCTGTCCAGCAGTGCCCCTGAAGTATCCCCCACAGGACCCAGGATTAAGGGTGATGGCTTAAAGCCACTAGAACCAATGATCTTTACAAATTCTTCCTGACTCTGCAAGTCTGCATTTCACTGTACATTGGAAAACATCTCCTTGCATTTTATAAACAATCCTTGGCGAAATGGACTCTCTTTGTGTTCTATAATGTATATATGTTTTTCCTTTCTAAACTACTTAATCCATGTGATATAGATATGTCACATATA